TGATTTAAAAGTTTCAAGATATTTTATGTAAATTAAATGAATTTGATTTTTATTCCATTAAATATTTAATGAATAAAATTCAACAAAAATAAATTATAAGTGGTTACCTGGCTCTCGAAACACACTATGTTTAGGTTGAAACAAAGGAAAATCCAAGTTCTGAAAAGAAACATATCAGATTTATTAAGATATTTTATGTAAATTAGATTAATAATATTTTTGTACCATAAAAAATTCAAAGTGTAGAGTTCAGAAGTAAAAATGAAAAAGGGACCCCGGCTCCCGGAGGAAAATTGATTTGGGTTGGTCAAAAAAAAAAAAATTCAAATTCTGAAAAAAAACATAAAAATAAATGAATTAAAATATGAATATTTTGAAACAAAATTAGATTGTTTAATTTCAATTGAATAATATTTTACATGAATAAACACAATTTATAAGAAGTTAATTATTATTAGTTAATTTTAATCAAATTGTTTAAATGTTTTAAGATATTTGATGTAAATTAAATGAATTTGATTTTTATTCCATTAAACATTTAATGTATAAAATTCAACAAAAAATATTATAAGTAGTTACCCGGCTCTCGAAGGACACCTCCTTTAGATTGAAATGATAAAAATCCAAGTTCTAAAAAGAAACATAACATACCTATTAGGATTTTATTATTATTAAATAATTGTAGTCATACGATTTAAAAGATCTAAAATATTTTATGTAAATTAAATCAATTTGATTTTAATACCATTAAATATTCAATGTGTCAGGTTCAAAAATAGAAACGAAAAGGGGATCCCCGGCTCCCGGAGGAAAATTGTTTTGGGTCGATCCAAAAAAAATATCCAAGTTCTGAAAAAAAACATAAAAATAAATGAATTAAAATATGAATATTTTGAAACAAAATTAGATTGTTTAATTTACATTGAATAATATTTTACATTTATAAACACAATTTATTAAAAGTTAATTAGTGTTAGTTAATTATATAATATATAATAAATTAAGTATAAAATTCAAAAAAAATAAATTTAAGTGGTTACCTAGATCTTGAAAGACACTTTCTTAAGTTTGAATCAAAAAAATAAAATCCAAGTTCTGAAAAAAAATATAAAATGAAATGAATTAAAATTTGAATATTTTGAAACAAAATTAGATAGATCAATTTAAATTTATGGCAACTTGGCTTCCGAAGAATCCTTGGTTTAAGAATAAAAAAATCCAGGTTCTGTAAATAAAAATAAAAATCAATACAATTGAACACAACTTAATAAAGTACTGAAAAAAATCCTAAAAATACCTTTCATAAAAATAGATAAATATATTGAATATCATATATAGAAGAATCCATCAAATTAATATCTAAAACAAATAACAAAAAAAAAAAAAAAAACCAAGGAATAAAACATACCTAAAATTTAAAAACTATATTTCTATTTGGTAGCAAAAACTGATAACAAATATATGTAACACCATTAAAAAGACAATCCATTAAACAAATACCTAATGCAAATCACAAACAAAAACTGAAAAACAAAAAACTGACCAATATCAAAAAACATAAATGACACGATATGAAGACAATCCAAACAACAAATTCCTATCTAAAATCATCAATTAAAAAACACAAAAAATAAAAAAGAGACCTACATCAAATAAATAAAACAGTTCCCTAATTCGAACAAAAAAAGTTGAACAGCTGATCATTCCTAACAATAGACAACCAAACAAATAGCTCGAGACCCCGGGTTCGCTTAGACCCGTAAACACGTAAGAACGTGTTCCCCTGGGGGATAATAAATACCAATAAAATCGACAAAAAAAGGCAGAAGATAAGACAGACCAACATAACAGTAAAAACAGTTCCCTAATTCGTACAAAGAAAGTTGAACAGTTGATCATTCCTAACAATAGACAACCAAACAAGAGCTCGGGACCCTGGGTTCGCTTAGACCCGTAAACACGTAAGAACGTGTTCCCCTGGTGGAAAACAAATACCTATAAAATCCACAAAAACAACCGAAGAACAAAACAGACCATCCTAACAGTAAAAACAGTTCCCTTATTCGAAGCAAAAACAGTTGAACAACTGATCATCACTACCTTAAAACATCAAAAAAAAAAAAAAAAGTCTATAACAATTGCACAATAAAATAGACAAAAAATATATCTTACACCACAAAAAGGACAATCCATCATATAAAAACTTAACACAAATCAAAAAAATAGACGAAGAACAAAAACAGACCTATAACAAACATTTAAAATTATAACCATATTTGGAAGTAAAAAAATCAATACTATTTAACACAACATAAGAAACAACCCAAAAGAAGAAACTAAGAAATACCACTCATGAAAATAGACAACAGATTTATCCAATACCATTAAAAGGACAATCCATCAAACAATTACCTAACACAAATCTCAAAAAAAGCCGAAGATAAAAAACATACCTCAATCAAATAGTTAAAACAGTTCCCTAATTCAAAGCCAAAAGAGTTAAACAGCTGATCATTACTACCTACAAACAAGCAAACAAAAGAAATTCTTTATTATATACGCATATAAAAGATAACAAATATGCCCAACACAAAGAGGACAAATCATTAAACATATCCCTAACATAATTCACAAAAAAAGAACCAAAAACCGACCTATAACAAACAGTAAAAATCACACCATAAAGAAGACAATCCATAAAACAAATACTTATTAAAATTCATCAATAACATACGGCGATGAACAAAAAACAGTCCTACATTAAACAGTAAAAAAAATTCCCAACTTCAAAGCCAAAAAAAACCAAATTCTATTCCACATAACCTACAGAAGCCTAAACAAATAACACAAGAAATACTTATGAGGTATCTAATAAGTTTTGTTTTCCTTGTCATGATGTAGAATATGATGTTTTGTTTCTCTTCTATTGTTGTAGCCCTCATTGGTCTTCCTTTTGACCCAAGACTTCTTGTTTATTTTCTCCAAAACCACATCTTGGTAGCACCTAGTCGTTACTTTTCATATTGTTTTACTTTCCAAGTTCCACAGCCATAAAATAATACACTACATATATAGGATTTGATGAATTTCTTCATTGTGATTAAATCATAGTGTTTTTTGGTTATAAGGGTGTATTAACCGTTAAATGTTCTTTTAGCTATGGCTATTATTCTCTAAACATCATTGTCTATGGACATAAAAAACATATAATATTAATAATGCAAAATATCTGACAAATCACTGGTAAAAAAATAGAAACAATAAAATTGTAAAAATAAAATGTAAAGGGGTTAGACTCCAAATAGAAATGTGTAATGGTGAAAACAAAATAAAATATTTATTTTTAAAAAGAAACATAAGAATGAAAAATGGTATCCATATCAAAACTGGGAATAATTAAAAGTTAATAGAGAGAATGAAATGATTTAATATTTGTTTGAGTTCATCATAAATATTATTTAATATAAAATAGAATACTTTATTATTGATTTGTTTTTGTAAAATATTAAAAAGAACAAAATGATTATTTTAAAACATTGATATGAGATATAATTTAATTATTTATGTTTTATAGTTTTAATTCTAACATTTAACTTTAAAATTTTTTATAAAACTTATCTATTATAAACTTAACTATTATGTATCGTTAAAATACAAAATCTGAAAATTGAAGGAAGTTCATATGCACGACAAAATTTTATTTGATATTTAAACAATATAATAATTAGAAATGATAATAAAAAAAAAGTAAATTTAAATTTTTTTTAATTATGTAAGGGTATTAAAAATTAAATTTGTTTAATGTTATTTATAATTATGAATTTTATGTTTATACCAAGAATAGATGGAATTTTTTTTTTATTATTATCTTAATGCAATATCGCCTTGTCGCTTCAAGATCATGGTTATGTGTTAGGAATGGTAATGCAGTGATTTCCCCTTGCCTTCTGCATCGCAGAAACATATTTCTAAGATGTGCTATTCTAGCATAGATAAGTCTGTGTTTAATACAAACAACGATGCTTCCCATTGTTTGGTCACTTTTAGTAGCCGCCTTTAAAGACTAGCATGGACTTCCCTCAGGTAAATTCTAACCTCCACCCACAGGGGAATAGTTAAAATTAATAAACGAAAAACCTTAATCTTACTCACAATATATGCTACACTTAACGTAAAACCTTTTCACCCCTCTGGAACATTTCCATCAATCTCTACACAGATAAAATCCTCAAAAACTATAAAAAATCTATTAATATAAATATTATTCTCAATGATTATATAATATTAACATACATTGACGTCCCAAACAAAGAGTGTCATACTCACTTTTACAAAATGTTAAAAAATAAAATCTTATTATGGTTTTCAAAAATTGTAAATCTAAAAATAATTTTTGTAATCTTTTATGTTCTATCTTAAAATCCACTTATTCTATTTACAGCTAACTCTATTTGTTGACCATAAAAAATAGGTTAAAAAAAAAATTATGAGTTAAGACTATTTTCGATGGAAAAAAAAATTTAAAAAGTAAGTCAAGACGTAATAACCATTGTATGTCTTGTTAATCAAAATAATATTTATTATGACAACTCAATATAATTATAATATATATATATTTTATAATATCCATAAGTCATAACACAATATATTGTATATAATTTAAAATGAAGAAAGTAGGCAGGTTTGGAATATGGCATATACAATAATATGATTTAAGTAATTTAGATAAAACTATTGAATAATTATTGTTTTATATTGGGTATTTACAATGTACTTTGTTGACACCAAACAATACATTTTGTATACTTGAGTATAATCAAATATTATGGAAATTGAAAATTAAAAATATTAAAGTTATTATCTAATTTGTAAAAATCTGTAGTTTTATTTATTTTTTTATTACATTTTTACCTTGTCTTCGATGACTGTACAATTTCAGTATCAGCATCAACAGCATTATGATACTCTTCATCGCTATTTATCATACCATACATAATATAGCAATTTAAAATGCTCTCTGAGTCACTACTTAAATTCTGTAGAAAATTGTATATTGACAATTAAATAATGATACATCACCTAATTTATTGTACTTTTAACTATCTGAGAAATTTTAATAATACTAATGCTTTGTTCGCATTCATTAATTATAATATTATCGCAAAAGTAAAATTAACAAAATATTGTTAATATTCCTACAATTAATAACATAATAGGTATCTTAATATTGAATTTAATAAGGTTAAATTATGAAACTTTCATTACTTGTTATCAATAATTATTGTGATTGTTTATGCTAAAAGCTAAAACCCACAAAGGTAAGCAAGCAGAAATCCAAAAATAGAATATTATAAATTATAATATTCGAGTTACCATAGTTTTCGTTGGTAATCATGTTTAAATTTAGTGGTAACTCATGATAAGATTTTTTTCGCGGGAAATCAACATTTTAATATTTATACATTAAACAAAAAATTGGACAATTAAGTTACGACCATAAATAAGTCGCAAGGGCAGTCGTTAAAGGTAGCAGAGATGGACTTGAGTGATAACTGCTTTACACATGGGCAATTTTATGTGGCACGCTCCAGAACAGGGGCGGCTCCAAGGGGGGCCTCCCAAGCCCGTACCGTATTTATAAAAAAATGTATATTGTTAACAAAAAATGCATATTATAATATGTACTATCATACGACACGCACAAGCAGTGGCGTATTTACGGGAGGGGGGAGGGGTACTGAACCCCCTCCAGAACCTCTCCAAAAAATAAAAAAATTAACAACAATTCTTACATATTTGCAGAATTGGGTATGTTAAACATTCACAGGGAAGTTGAAATTACTGTGCATGAAGTGACAGAGGAGTTGGCCAGAAAATCGAGACAACTGGAATTTATTTTATAACAATACTTTATAATATATAATGCTAAATACAATATATAGGTACATATATATAATATTACATAAGACTATACGGTTATTACATTATATATTTAGTTCAACTTCCTCCAAAAACTGCATAAGGACGTAACTATTACAATATAATATATAGTTTATATTAATTAACTGCGCACAAGTATGTAGATCAGTGGCGTATATAGGAATTAATTTCCGGGGGGGGGGGGGGTTATGAAAAAATATATACTAAATGAAGGTTATAAATTAACTTATTTTTAATAACTATGAAAATTAGAATACATAAATTTAATTACAGAACAAAGTCTAATTTTCGAGGTAGATTTGCAAAATTATTTATCACTTCTTCAGTGTTTATTGAAATACTTCGATGAATTGACATGAGATAATCCTGTTAGTCGATTTTCGCTTGTACTATTTCTCAAGCATGAC